TAATTGTAAACAATTAGTTGGTACTTATTACTAAGACTGCTTTAAAACACATAAATATTCTTTAGTACAACTCATGAGGTTGGATCTAAAATGCACCAAAATCACACTTAATATACTTGGATGTATCAAACAACTAGATGGCGTCAAATATTGTAATTTTCCTTCGTTATGTCACAACTCGTAATAAATTATTATACGTGATTTTTTAATRATTGAATTTAAAATTATTTCAACAGTCTTGTTTCTTCATTTGCAAGTCGTAAAGTCAGAAGGTAAGTTTATTTTATGAAAAGTCTGTTAATAATCCTAATAAATTTTATCATAGGTTTACTTCCCTATACCCTGCTATACTCTTTACCAGTTGCAAAAAAAAWTTGTATCCCACTTAACAAACAGTTCAAGTGTGACCGACTCCGTCTTAAATAAATTCCAATTCTAATTATATATTTACGGTTAGGGTCGTAAGGGAGAGTGCAGTTTTTCTCAGTACTTACGGTTTCCCTAGCTCAGTCAATAAAGTGTATCTATCTATCTATCTAGTTCTGCTGGTTAGCAGACAGACAGACAACTTTATTTAAGCAAGATAAAAACGTCAGCTATATCATAAATATACTTCCAAAATTCTTGAATAATTAATGAGCATTTAGATCTATCCGCTCCTTCAAATCCATCACGTTCATGGATCTTTATACCTGATAATAGTTCAACACGGATATCTTTATATAAAGATTTTGAAATCTTTATAAAGCACCAAAAGAGTACGAGAGCATGTCACGAATAAGAACCCTAATTAATTATTCATTAATTTTTGAAGTCGTTCAATAAACTCGCAGATCGTGTTTCATCAGGTCTATCGGCTACGCCTCGTGGTTTTAAACCTGATAAWAAACTCCTGCTGTTTTATAGGGAATTTGACTTTTTTGCGCTTGTAACAGGAAGTAAAGGCTTATTCAGAGCAAAGATAGAGCTGGGGTAGGGAAACTGTTAACAACTTTTAAACTTGACCAATAATGCATCATTTGGTAATATGATTTGTTGCAGTAACACACCTAACAGCAAGTAAAGGGAACATCACGAGCCGTTTTTATCCTCTGAACTACCCAAAGGACCATTTCCARGAATGGAAGATAGGGGCTCCCGAAAGCTATCGCATTAGATTGAAATTTAAAGACTTTAATATAGGGAGCTGCACAACCAATGATGACCKATTGCAAGTATGGAACGGCGAGAATTTAATGGATTTATGTGGTCAGCAGCTACCAACCACAATTGAATCCTCACAAAATGAGATGGAGTTGTTTTTGAATTCTAATTCAAACTCTCAAGGAGGCAGATTCTGGGCAAATTATGAAATGTTCACAGAAAACGAGCCCAAAACAACGCATGGGTCCACAATATACACGACTTTACAGCCTACAAGATTTATGACTGACTTGAACACTGGGGATGGTGATTCCGAGACAAATAGTTCAGGTAACTATCAAAGACCACCATCAGTATCACCATCATGCATTATCACCATCATCGTCGTCATCACTTCCATTATCATCGCCATCACCATATTACCAGAAGTCCACAATCACTTTTTCATCGTTATCACCATCATTATATCATTACCACTATCCCGCATCATCAACATCATCGGCACCATCCATATTATTACCCTCACAATCATCCTCACTATCATGATCATATCATCACCACCACAATCATCACCACTTCATTATTATCACCWCAATCTTCATTGAATATCACCAYTATCTTYTTCATTKTCATCACGTTATCATTATCAACCATAAACTCTATTTYCATTTCTTTTGTAGGCGGGTCACAAACTACTTACGTTTTTATGATTATTATTGGATGTGTCATATTACTAGCATTTATAATCATTTATTGTGGATGCAAGAAACGAGAGCGACACCAATTACAGAGTCCAACACCAGCTAATGTTCCCAATAATGCAGACCTTGAAAATGAAATTGGGATTTTGGAGTTAGGCTTCACTGACTCTCCACCTAGTTATGAGGAGGTTACGAGACAATCTATCCCAAATGTCAGTACAATTACCCAGCAGCCTTCAGGGAATAGTACTGCCACTGAAAATGAGAGGACAGATTCATCTGGACTACCATCATATAGAGAGGCATTAAGACTATCTCAACAATCATTGGACACAAATTTATAGATTATATGTAAAATACATAACTAATGCACAAAAATGTATTTATGACATAACTGTTATAAATCTCGCATTCTGATTGGTTGGGAGCGCGTTCTTTATAAGAGCACACAGCACGCACGCGCCCTTTGCATTTTATAAGAGAATACGCGTCGAGCTTCTCCTAACACTTCTCTCGTGTTCTGCCAATCCCCGCGTGCTTTATAACTGCACACAGCACGCGCGCGCGTTTTCTATTCCTGCTATAGTCTTTATGCTTAAAGGTAAAAACCGCTGTTTTATGACTGAAGACTCATCTGCACAGAATAAGTTTCGTTTAAGAGCAAACCATTTGCAAAAGTCAACTGTAATGTAAAGAAGCAAATTAAACAGCATCAATGCTTTGAAATCTCACGGCTAGCTATCTATCTCTGGATAGCATGTACCTTTATTTAGGTTTTTAATATATTGCATATATTTTTACTTGTAAATATTATATAGCACAGCAGGTACTAAATAAACACGATTGTCGTTGTTGTTGTTGTTGGTATCTGTGATTAGCTGACTTATAAACGAGGCYAAGCCYGTACAAATGAGTCTGTGGTCTTCAAGTCGTCATGCGAAACTGGTGTATTAAACGAATTTTTAAACATTACTCTCGCCCTTTTAATAACGAATCGTACTCGAGGTGGTGCGTTTTCTTATTATAATTTGATACTTTATTGTCATTAACATTATTATTAATTAATAATTATTGATGAATTTAATGTTTTAGTGCACCATTGTAAATCATCTAAACATCTGTATTTGGTTGACACACTTATGGGGAGGGTCTACGAAACGTCTTAAAATCAGAAGCTGTTCACGTCACGATGCATTATTTTCCACGTTTGACGTTGAAATATTTAAATAGAAAATAATAAATTGCTCGTCAAACGAGGAAAAAGACATAGAATTTAAACTAGCTTGATGAAACGTAATTTACAACCTTCTATGAATTACAAAAGGTTATTTTAACTGGATTAATATGAATACAATTTTACGTAATAGTACTGTGACTGATACGACCAGCTGCGCGCAAGTTAACCTGCAATCAGATCGACTTTCCTTTAACTCTATGTAACCATAATCAAAGTCTGTCTGCACGAAGACTACATGTAAGTAGGGTGCATGATTTGCATTGATAAATATTCAAAAGTGCATGACGAGTGACGTTGAAAGCCAATTATAAACGATTACTACTTTCCGCATATCCAAAACAGACAACACACTCAAGCAGTGAATCATGAAGGAAGTATACAGATATAATCTTTTGCTAGCATTATGGGTTACAGGTGGATAATTAAGAAATATACTCAATATTATCGTGATAAGCTGTAAAAACAACATGTAACGTTYATTGATCTTATGAATATTTCTCAGAAGTATTTTTTTGGTTTGCACTGATTATTTTAAACTGAAGTTTGAACATTCCCTCTTACACTGATTTAATATCGGGGCTAACATGAGCCAAGATCGCACGTACTGTTCCGTACTTCCGTGTTGCAAACAGAATTAACTAGGTGACATTAAAATTTGTTAACGTCGTGATACAACTTCCTSGTATCATGTGATTTTATTTTTTCCACAGTTTTCCTTCTTCAGTCGCAAGTCGTGAAATYATTAGAAGGTAAAGTTTGGAATTTTAGAATTTATAAGGCTGTTAAATAATAATTATGACAACTTTTATAAAGCTTTAGAAGCTCTCAAATAGTTTTGTTGAAGTAGCGCTTGTAACAGAAAGACCAGTTAAATTTCACAAAGCGGGTGACCTAKTCTCTAAAGCTCTAAAGCTTATGGACCCCTTACACTGAGTCCCAAGAGGAATTGTTATGGAGAACAAAACAAGGGTTTTTTTGTTTTTGCATAGAGACGGCCTATTGTTTTGTCCCCCAGAACAATTCCTCTCGGAAATCAATGCAAGGAGTCTATTTAGCACACAGAAAGTAGGGAAATTGTTAACATCTGACTTAGCCAATAATGCATCATTTGGTAATTTATTACAGTGACATATCTAAGAGCGAGAACAGGAGACATCAAGAGCCGTTTTTATCCTCACTGTTACCCAAAGGACTATTACCACGAGTGGAAAATAGTTGCTCCCATAAGCTACCGGATTGGATTGGAGTTTAAAGATTTTAATATAGGTAACTGCACGATCAACAGTCACCGATTAAATGTGTGGTATGGCAAAGTGGGTCGGCTGTATTTATGTGGTCAGCGGCTACCACCTATGATTGAATCCTTGGGAAGTGAAATGGTATTGTATTTCCCTTATCAACCATGGTACACCAAAGGGTGCAGATTCTGGGCATATTACGAAATATTCAAAGAAAAGCTCAACACAACAAAAAGATTTAGAATATACACGACTTTAGMGACCACACACTATAAAAGTTACTTGAGCACTGTTCAACCAACTGAGTCGAATGATTC